TCCACTCCATTATAAGTAAGACCAGCGACAGATTCTGTAGCAGTTGAAACATGACTCAGTTAGTTATTCATTCACCAAAGAGGAAGTAAGTAGTTGAAAAGTCCTTGGAAAATCCTCTGGAAAGTCCTTGGATGATGAACCAAGTTTAATTCAACAGCTAAGCCTGTTTATTTGGAAGCTGATTTCACAACCATCAACTCCTAACAAAAACAAGACCATTGTATGTGTTGTATATGCCACAAAACGGTCTTGTTGGTGTTATATACATGCAAATCATTTTGTCGTCATTCATTTATTTAATTCCCAGAACAGCCCTAGGAGGAAGTTCATTTTTGGATGAGGCATCTGAGGCTTAGAAAGGTGAAACAATTTCTTTGAAGTCTCACATATTATGAATCCAAACTGTGTGTGCGTGTGTGTGTGTGTGCGTGTGTGGTTGCACACATAATTGTTGTACTATGTCAGATGAGATGATTTTTTAAAGTACATGCATGGGAATAAGAGTATCAAGGATGGGGAGGGACATGGGAGAGGGGGAGGCGGGGGAAAGGAAGGAGGTGTTAACAAACTCAGGGACAAGGGAACAACAAATGATCCAAAATTGATGGCGAGGAGGGTGTAGGAGGCCTGGTAGGACTTGATCAAGGGCAATGTAACCAAGAGGAATTACTGAAACCCAAATGAAGTCTGAGCATGATAGTGGGACAAGAGGAAAGTAAAAGTAAATAGAGGAAAGAACTAGGCGGCAAAGGGCATTTATAGAGGTTTAAATATAGGCATGTATACATGTAAATATATTTATATATAATGATAGGGAAATAGATCTATGTACTTATATCTATATGTTAAGAATTAAGGTAGCAGATGGACATTGGGCCTCGACTCAAGTACTCCCTTAACACAAGAACATTTTGTTCTAATAATCCAGCGTTCTGTGATGCTCACCTTCCCGACACTATCACTAAAGACAAAAATGGGTGGATAAGCAAATGTGGTGAAGAAAGCTGATGGTGCCCAGCTATCAAAAGATATAGCATCTGGGGTCTTAAAGACTTGAAGATAAAAAAGCCACCATCTAGCTGAGAAGCAACAAAGCCCACATGAAGAAGCACACCAGCCTGTGTGATCACGAGGTGTCGAAGGGATCAGGTATCAGGCATCCAAGAACAAAACATCATATCATTCAATGAGAAGGAGTGCGGAGTGGAAACCCAAAGCCCAACTGTAGGCTACTGTACATCCCCTTACAGAAGGGTCACATGGAGGGGACGAGCCAACCAGGGTGCAGTATAGCAATGATGAAACATATACCTGTCCTCTAGTTCGTTAATGCTTCCTCTCCCCGCCCCCACTATCATGATCCCAATTCTACCTTACAAATCCGGCTAGACCAGAGCATGTACACTGGTACAGATAAGAGCTGGAAACACAGGGAATCCAAGACAGATAAACCCCTCAGGACCAATAATAAGAGCAGTGATACCAGGAGGGGAAGTAGTAGTGGGGTAGAAAGGGGGAACCGATCACAAGGATCTACATATAACCCCCTCCCTGGGGGATGGACAACAGAAAAGTGGGTGAAGGGAGACATTGGACAGTGTAAGACATGACAAAGTAATAATAATTTATAAACTATCAAGGATTCGTGAGGGTGGGGGAGTGGGAAGGGAGGGAAGTGGGGAGGGAGGGGGAAAATGAGCTGATACCAAGGGTTCAAGTAGAAAGCAAATCTTTTGAGAATTATGATGGCAACAAATGTACAAATGTACTTGACACAATGGATGTATGTATGTATTGTGATAAGAATTGTATGAGCTCTCAATAAAATGATTTAAAAAATAAATAAAAGAGTATCAAGACTGTCAGGAGGCCCAAGGGGTGGACTGTAATGAACATGTGCTGTTTGTAGCCCACTTCATATCCATTCTCTGCCACCTCTTCTTATGCCATAGATTTTCATTTGGGGTGACCAACTCTTTGACATGTGCAGTCTTATAGGGCCCCTGGGCACATGACTCAGGGGTTGTCAACTAGGGATTTGAATCTAACAAGCAATGATACCAAGCAGGAAGAATATTTGGGATGAATTTAGGTAGTATAGCCATGTCAAATCCTGGGTTCCACTGTTAGCTGTCTGACATTGGGCAGGTTACATAACCTCTCTTGCCCCAGTGAAAACGTCTATAAAATGAGGAGAATAATAGAATTTGCATCATAACTATGACACACTGAGACAGTAAATTTTATTTTGGTGTATTTGTTTGTGTTGATGTAATTCCACCAGTTTTCAGATGTTTCCAATTAATTTTCACTGATGAGTCCCCTGGAGCATCCTGGTTGGTCCTTCCTGTCCTTTCCTGGGGACGAGTCCCAGGTTTCTCATCGATTCTGTGGGTACCTGTTACCCTACCAATACACTGTTTAATTGTGTAACTAATTCAGAGTCTGAAGACTCTACTCTAGAACCTCGGAACCATGATCCTCCACTCCAGCAGAAATCTGCAGCCACATTTAAAAGTTTGTTTGTTTGTTTGTGTTTCTGGACATCCAAATTCATGGCTCGAGTAGCAGTACTAAAGTCATGCAGACTAGCTCCTGCACGCTGCAGAGTTTATTTGTTTGCTTAATAACATGAAGGAGATCCTCTGGGCTATGGCATGGTGGAATTATTGAGGATTACTAATCTCCAATCAAAGGTGAGCAAATGGAGGTCAAGGGAGGGGGAGGGACTTGTCCAAAGTCACACAATAAGCTTGGATGACTTCTAATTTAGGTACTCTCTGATTAAACTAGGGAAAAAGACAGGGCTTTCTTCTCCAGTGAAGTGTTACAGTCCCGGAAGCCCACAGGAGCAGTTCTACCTTGTCCTATAGGGTCACT